CATAATAGTAATAACTTTATTCTTATATAGCGCCATTTCCATTTCTGTCCAATGGCGCTTTACAAATTACAATTAAACACTAAAAATATACTGTAAAATAATTAAGAATTATATGAAGATGTTAAAATATATATACATTAAAATTTATTTTCCTAGTTAGACCCAGCCTTTACACCGAGCCCCACATGCGCCGAATCCAACGCAAACGGGGGACAGGGTGGGGGCAATGTGGTGCATGAGATCACATATGACAAGCAACAATGCCCAAGGGGATGGAGACAAAGTGAAGATTTTACTAGTATGTTAATATTTGACCTCATATGGTGGGAATTTGGTGTTTAATCATGCTCCTCTAGGTTGGGCATCTTCCAACATTTGCTTAGCTCATTTTCAAATGCCCCACCAATCCCCACCCTGTCCCCGGATTTGGGGGGGGAGGGGGYGGTGGGGGTTTACTTTAACTAGTGCATTAGCTACAAGAAAGACATCATAGAGCAGATGAGTTTTTCTAATGATAATTAGAAAAACATAGCCGTCACGTCGTAAACACATTGTTGGATTGTGTTACGGTCACCAAAATGTTCGGTCATCGTTCTCGGATTCCCATACAAATTCACTGACTTTAAAGAGAAAATTTAGGTAAATTTCTTTAGTTAGCTCTCTTGACAGCAGTAAGAAAATTAAAGCTTCAATCAAGTTAGAAAAATGATATTTTACTTGTATTTAGAGAACTAACTAAACAAACCAAGTAAATAGTTCATTTAAAGTCAGTACATTTATACGGAAATCCAAGAACAATGTTCGAACTTCTTGGTTACCGTAACACAATCCAACACAATTTATACCACGTGACGGCTAGCGCCGAATAGGTGAATTTTTTAGTGGCTTAGAAATATAACGTCACTTAAAACATTTATCTAAGAATTGTTGGACGGTATTTATATATTTGTTCAATTGATGATAGGTTGTCTACGTTGTTTCCTGGCGGTAATCCCGCTCATATACTAACGTTTACAACAAGATAAGCTATCCGGTTTGATCATATATCCTCTCTTTCTCTATCTCTCTGTGAAGTCTTTACGGTTAATTATTTTTGCTAATATTGGGCCAAACTTATTTTCTGGTCTACCAAGGAACCGGTAATTTATCCATGTAGGAGAGAGGATCGGAAGATTTTCGTAGCAACATCTATGGAACTTTTTCACATTCTCGTCAAGAATCACTACAAAAAATACCTTAGAAATTAAAATGATATACAGCGAGACATAAATTAAAAACAAATTGTTTCGAATGAGATATTTAAGCTGATATTTTCAAGTGTCGTGATGCCCGCAGGTGTATCCATAAGGAGCCTAGCATTTCAATTTTCTTTTTTTGCTCATAAACTAGTTGGGTTCCGATAAATACTAATTTCAGTTTCCTTCTGTACATGAGTGTTACTCAGTGAACGTTATTATCGAAGATTATCTTACTTGTTAATTGCTTAATTTTCAATATTTTCACTTCTATTCAAGCACTTAAAAATCAATTTTTCCTGACGCTTTACTGCGTCGCGAAGTTCTTGTAAGCGCCAGCAGTAGACAACGGGGTTGATAGAGGCAGTGATCGTAATTATAGTAAAGGATAATTCCCCAAGCTGGACGACAAAACCATGAAAGCCTATAACTATAAATAAGATGCAAAATATCAAGTAAGGAATAGAAAACCCAAGGTAGATTACTGTCACAATGAAAAATGAAAAAGAAGATTTTTTCCCTGTTTTTATCTGTTCATTTGTCAGTCTGTTGGCGTGTTGCATTGCTCTCTCGAGATCTTGGATCTGAGATCGATGTTTTTCAGTAATTTTGTAGATCTTCCAGTAGCAAACTAGGATTATAATCAAAGATATCGTGCATCCTGTACTAAGCAATATGGTAAAAATGATTAGCTCGTTAAGAATTCGAGGAATCAAGACAATCAAGAATACTGGCCAGAATCCAGTAAACAACACCAGAACGCGTGGTACTGTAATAATTTCTTCGTAATAATGTAAAGCAAGGAATCGATCTATGCTTATTGCTGTCAGGGTCGAAACAGAAACTCCTGATAAAACAACGATTGATAAAATAGTTAAAATAGTGGCATTGCATGTTGCTGTCCAGTTCTTGTAATGCTTAGCTATGCCATAAGCAACAAGACATGGTTGAGAAACGAGCCCAGTAAGAAGATCGGAAAAGGCAAGACAACCAAGCAAGGCGAACGAAGGCTTATGCAGCTGAGCATTCTTCCAGATGGCCAGAATCAAGATGAAGTTTTCAACGACAGCAAAGAGTGAAGTGGGGAAGTTAAGGACAGCTAATAAAATATTGATGACTCGTTCTGTTGTGTCTTGATGTTCGATTCCAAGAAACAGCCCAAAACATTTCTTCTCAGACACCAACTCAGTGCGGTTCATTTTGCGTGGCCGCGGAACTAATATCGATCGTACGTTTTAAGTTTTTAGACTTTTGTATGCACAAATGGAAGCGGAAGCTATGATAATTATTCATTAAAGTAATGCTGATCCGAGGGGAGTTCTTTGATCGTGATTGGCTAATTAGTGCCGCCTTTTAGAAAGCTCGATTAGTTGTCTTTAGTTAATTAGTTGATTAGGCTGCAAGCATTCCCAAAGAGAGTCAAATTAAGACAAAAACATGGAATAATTGTCTAACTATTATCATGAAGGAATACAAATTTAGATAAGAAAGAAAACTCGCCAAAAATCAATTATGGTAGTGGTAGTCACCATCATGCAAACGTCCTATTAAAGATTTTAGAGGATTAGAGGATAAAAATCCGAGCCTCCTCCCCACCCCGTCTTTTACYCCTCCCACGCCCCAAAAATATTTGACTGTTCACAACCGCTGGCCATCTTGACTGACAGACCAAAACAAAATGGCGACTTTTGAAGTACATGTACTATTAGTGCGTAACAAATTTGCTTATTTATGTTCATAAATCCACTCTAAAGGAAACAGAAAAGCTTTCTAGAACGAACAGAAACGCTTTAGAAGTTTCAAGGCTTGCTTTTTTCATAGCTGAGCTTGGTCTTTTGGTATAACAGCAGTCAGAGATTTCGAAATGTCATCTGGAAAAGATGGCGAAAAGAAAAGTACAGATAGTGTCTCTAAAACACCTAGTCTGCCCCTGAGTGCAAGAGGTAAATGTATCCTAAGAAGTGAATAGTTTGTAATATGTATTACTGAGACCTTTTATAGATCCCAAAAAGAGAAGTATTATATTTACTGTGCGAGTGTAATGGGCTTCGCTTGGATGTGGTTGCACACGTGTTTTTTATATGATTCGCCCATGAACGAGACAGAATATTGATAAAGAAAGAAGGCCAAGCAATTTGGCTGTTTCATCTATTAAACTTAGACGAAGCTTGCACAAGTTTCCCCAGCTGTTTAAGTGCATGCATTTTCAAAGTTTTGTCATCCCCACCCCTCCCTCCTGCATCAAGATTTCCTCTTCCTAAATCTCGCTTTTTAAAAGTGGTCCCAAAGGTAAAACCAATCAAAATATGGATTATCTGTTAAATTTGTAGAACTTTTGCTAAATATGATTTTTGGGGAAAATTTTTAAATTATAGACATCTATATTTCTTTTTTTCATTTTTTTAGCATTATTGTCCAGACAGTTAGGGACAGGTTCTTGGTATGTATGTGATAACAACATTGAAAATAGAAACACTACTGTAGTTATGAGGGGGAGGTCGGGATAACCTTGGAAGGAAAACCTAGAAAAAATGAAAGGAAGGAAGGAAAGAAGGGAGAGGAACAAAAAAGATGTAATGTCTAATACTCCTTTTCACAGTTCCATTCAGTGACCTCCGAGGCTGGAGTTACCGCACATGATAAACTGTAGTTTTTCTATGAGCGGAAACTCCAGCCCCGGTTGGGAACTATTGTTCGTGGTCACTGAATGGAACTGTAAAAACTTTGGAGTATTGCAGCTATTTTGTACAAAATAGTGGATATTACTGGAGCAGAAAACATATTGGAAACAAAAGCAAATACCTCTATGCATCTTYGTTTAGTTCATGCCTGAGTGAAATTGACAACTAAATAGTCAATAACTAAATACTTTTAAGCGCTACATGGCTAGTAATTTTTTCAAGGATATACACGTGTATGGGGTGTACTTTAAAGAAAGAAAAAAAAAAAAACTGTTCTAGTAGTCATTTAAATAATTAATTAAATGTAAGATTACGGATAAAACGTGTAGAATTTTTAAAAAGACATGACGTTTCAGCTATAACTAGTGATAGCCTTCATCAGAAAATATATCATCAAATAATATTTAAGTATTACCAAACTCGGCTCCATGCAAAATCAGCGATTTGTCTTTGCCTTCAACATTACAGCAAATAACTGATTACACACTGACAAATTATGGTGTCTTGCTTATGCAGACATAACAAATTATTGTTTATCATTTATATTATAATTTGGTCAACTAGTTTTGTTTTGTTGATTGGTATCTAGTCCAGGAAGACTACCATCCCTTCGTCCAGCAAGAGATCTTAGTCTGGGTGCTACTCCGAAACTCACTTTAGGAGGGAAAACAAAAGTAGGTAGTTTTTTTTATCAGCAATTTAACAAATAGACATCAGTTTTTTATGTGTCTGTCCTCTTATTGATGATAAATTGAGTCATCACATTATCAAAGTAATGTGGATCCATGAGGCGTGGAGAGAGCAATAAAATTAGAAGGGGTTTTTTGATTACAGTCAAAGTCTGTATATGGTTATTTCATTTTTTTTGTAAAGTAGATGACATCACAGACTCTGTTAAAAATTCGTAAAAATACAATACTTCAGTCCCATTGGAATATCAAGAAAAGACTTGAACCAGTGATTATTAGACCCTTAATGATTACTTTAGTAAAGTTTCTGTTGAATTAAATTCCTAACAATTTTTGTACTACATGTACTTCCCTTTAAAATTATTTTGTTTTATTTAGAGAACTTTCACACCTACAATACCTGCCAGAAGAATAAAGGAAGAGTAAGTGATTTTTAAGTATTCATTATCATTGTAAGGGATATTTCCACCTATATTTTTACAAGGAAAGAACATATCTCCAGCAAGAATGGGGTTAAAGTTTTAAACAGAGCTTGAGGGAGGAGAGGGTGGGGAGAAAACTTGTTGGTTCCTTGTAAAACTCCCAAGAGAAAGAGGACAACTGTGCAATCCCCTTCTGTAATCAGGTGTCAATAGTTTGTGGTACTGAAATTAATGTAATCTATTCCATATCTAGACCGAAAGATGGACTTTCAAAAGATATGCCATCTGTAAGTACAGCAAAGAAATCATTGGTGACTTTAAGCTTTAAGCTTAATTGAGTTTTGCAATTAAGATACAGCTTTTTCAATGTTTGACCCATTCTTAAGATGTCATTGGTAAACTTAGTAACTCTATTGTGCAAATTTTATTTTTAGTCTTCTAAGGACAGAAAAAATAGGCGCCATGAAGGAGAAGGACGTGGGCGTGGCAGAGGAAGGGGTAGGGGAAGAGGAGAAATCGTAGCATCTCAGTCAGTCTTCTCTATGGGTCCTGCAGAAAAACCTAAAACAGGTACTAGTAGTTTTTGTCAGATGGCTACAAATTATGGTAGTAATATTGAATAAAAAGTTTAATGATGGTGGTGGTGATGATGATGATGATGGTGATTTTTTATGGCAAACTTGCAAAAGGCAGGTGTAATTTTGTATTTAGTGAGTGACAAAAAATTTAACTAGCTAAGTTTTGCCAGTATGACCACAGTCCAGAAATTGAAGGACTGAAAAGCTTCTAAGGACCCACATCAAGTAGAGCTTGTTTTTCACGGTGTCTGATCACTAGGGACTTTGAAATTTTTGCTGACGAGAACAAAACTTACTAGCAAGGTTTAGCTAGTGGGGTTTAAACAAGTTAATTTCTTATTATTATATAGTTATTTATTTATTTTTTTGCCCTGTGGTATGATGATAATGAGAATGGTAAAATGTTTGAGGATACATTCTTTAAAATTTTGAAAGAAAAAAAAAAAAAACATTATTATATGAACATTATTATGAAGTTAGAATAATTTCCTTGTACAAATTTGTGCAAAGTTTTTGTCGGTCTATGGCCTACTGAGATCTACTGAACTTATTAATTGGTTGATATATGTAACTGTATGGTATGCATTGTCTGTATTATTAGGTCAGACAACACCATCACTTGGTTTTGTAGGAGGAGGAGGAAGGGAAGATAAAACAGCAACAAAAACATCAATTAAAAAAGAAAATAAGTAAGTACGAATGCTCAAGGACCTGGTGGCTCGTGCAACCAAGTGTGAATAGAAGAGGTTTCGGAGGGGGGTGGGAGGGGGGGGAACTGATGCTTTGTGACAGTACAGCCAAGTTTGATAGCAGGGGCTGTGGTCTTTATGGGTTGGCTAGCCCTGCTGAAAGGGAAGATCTGATTCCTTTATGCGCAAACAATACCCCACTTCCGAGATATGCTTCGCTTGTCACGCACAAAGGTTTCAGTATGAGGCTATGTGCTAAATTAAATTTATTCTTAACGCTTGTCATGAATGACTGAGCATTTAGCACGTAACCTCATACTGAAACCTTTGTGCATGACAAGCAAAGCATATCTCGGAAGTGGGGTAATATTGTGCAGAGAGGAGGTGAGATGAGACATTAAGTTTTGGGAGAAAAACATTGGGAAGAAAGTTTGCACCATTGATTATGTACTGAAGCACCTAGGGACTACAGAGCAGTTGGTGAGGGAGGGGGGGATTGCCAATGACAAAGATTTACCACCCCCCCCTCCTTCCCACAATCTGTTTCACCCTGTGGTAAAGCATTGCCCTAAGATATCCAATGTGGCAGCTTGGAATGCTAGGTCAGGGCCAAATCCTTACAGCCCCTTACAAGTCTGATAACAAACATGTTTGTACACATTATAGTTGATTGATAGGTTTTTAAGATAATTTTCCTTTTATTTCTAGGGATATTGAATATGATGAAGAAGAATCCAAGAAAATATTGAAGATGTTACAAACAGAGGTAATAGGCTAGGCCTCAAGAAACCCCGATGGCTGGAAATATGTGCCTAGTAATGGGCATGAGTTTTTCAAAAACTTTTCTCTAACTCTCAAAGAAAATGACGAATGTGTAAATAGAACTTTTTGATACTTTTCATCTCATTTCTTTTTAACTTTTTTTTCTAATTACATTAACCCCAAGAAAGAAAGCTCTCTCTTTTTTTTTTTTTGCATGCAGAAAAAACATTGAACAAATAACCATATTTCAAAGAGTGAATCTCGTTATCTGTGCTGTAAATGATGATTAAATCTATTTTATTTATACATGGTAGGCTTTAGAGCTATATTTTTATGGCACCATGTATCAATCATACACACTTTACTACATTTGAATACTCTAGACACACAACTCCTGTGTTGATTTTTACAGACAAATGAAACTAATTCCAACCATTGTTCCAATTTATATTTAGATGTCTTATAACTAAATGGGATTCCCACTATTCTGTGATGGAGAAACAGTAATAATAGAAATAAGTGAACCTTTAGTATATTAAGATCAGTTTGGAGTTTTAACTGCAGTCATAATTTCATTGACTTTAGGATGATGGTATTGAAGATGAATGCAGTGAATATGGAATGGCACCAGTCTCTATACCTCTCTCAAACTATTTACTGAAGATAAAAGAAACAGAAGACAAAAAAGATATAATCAAAGGTACAAAAATCTCTGCAATCTTTTCGAGTATTAACGAGATTGTTGTTTGGCATCACTT